TTGAACCTTTCTGAGAGTTCCTTTGATGAGAGCACATATTTATTTTGTCATGTTCCAGAATTACTAGACTAGACAGACTGGCTTTTGCTAATTTTAGATTCATTCTTCCACCCTTGTGTTGGGTCAACAACTCTCTAATCTTAGACTTTACCTGGTACTGTACTAGATTTTAACATCCATACTGGCTCCTGGGGCATGCGCCTGTATGTACTGGGTTTTATAACTCACTCTAGCTCAGCTGGGTAATCAGAAGTTCAATAACAGTGGTAAGATGTATTTGACATACATAGAAACAGTGCAGGTACAGCACCACACCCCTATGTTATTCTATACAATTCATTAAACCATACATTTTGGTGCTGAGACTACATCACATAATATGTGTAAATATGTTGATTGTTGAATAAATAATACAATACTTTATATTGCCTCCTTGTTGAACCGAAACTAATCGGACTGGGCCATTAAGCAAAGCAAAGACAGGGAGACTTTATGGTGTTGTATTATTTATTCAGTAGATATTCAGTAGAATGCAATAATTTATTCAATTACTTATTTAATAGAAATATTGACAATGTTGTATGCATATAATGGGCCATGAAGATGTAGTGGGTCTATATAATACTATGTTTGATGTTTTTATAAATGTTTATTTTATGGTGAACCAATTTAATTAAAACAAATATATTTTTACACATATGTGATGTAGTCTCAGCACCTTTAAAAGCCTTAAATGTATAGTTTAATTGATTAATTACAAGACTTGTCTAGGTGATGCTCTATATAGAAACTGGAGTTACTACTCTCATATATGCTGTTGTGTCTGATCACTCTATGCTTCTGTCTATGAATATGTGTATCTAATGCTGCAGGAGTCATATAGCTAAATGTGTAGAAATGTCAGTGTGGCCCCTTGCACTGTCTTGGAAAGCTGCCAATTTTCTGACTTATATGTCACAAACGGGAATTTATCAAAACTGTAGCAGACAAAATCTGGATCAGCTGTCCATGACAACCAATCAGCTTCTCCCTTTCATTTTCAAAACTTAACTGAGCAAACTGAAGAGAGAAGCTGATTGGTTACTATGGGCAACTGCTCCAGATTTTGTCTGCTACAGTTCTGATAAATTCCCCTGTTTGTGCTCATGACTTTCACAGTTGTATAATACATCATCCTGAAGGACCAAGGTGGATGAATTAAAAGTAATTCATCCTATATCTCCTCACAGAGCAGTAATTGTCCCACTTTTGTTATGGCTGAAAACAACATGATAGCAGCTGGAATTCTTTAAAAGGAGAACTCTAGTTTATTGATGCACCATTCTGAAGAAATATTATATTCTATAATTTTCTGAATCTGTAGAAACTATTAGTCAAGCTGTAAACCACCTCCCTTCCACACATCCTAAGATGCTGGGTGAGATTTACAAAATATACACATCCAAATCTGCTGCATGCAAGGTGTTTTTCCAAACTCATTTAAACTCAATGAGCTTGTGAGAACAGGGCCTCTTGGTTTAAATAGATCTTGTAAAGTACTACGTTTATGTCCAGATCCAAACACAGAAAACTGGTTAGAACAATATTTGTTGTGAATTAGTTCTTAGCGGAAAATACGTATGTGCAGAATATTCCAGATATACAGTCTATCTGCATTGCCTGCTGCTTGACGGTATGATCAGCCTTCTAATTCTATTTTTACTTGCTTTGCAGACACAAGAACCGGGGAACGCTTAGTAATTTAGTGTCACAACATTTGGATCACCTAAACTATCTCAATGATATTCTGATTATTAACTGCGAATTCCTCAATGATGTTCTGACAGATCATTTGTTGAACAGATTGCTACTTCCACTATATGTCTACTCACTGGTTAATCAAGACCAGGTAAATAGAACCCTAAATTTTACTAAGAAAAAAAAAAGAGAGACCATTATTAGTTTCATATGTAGTGGTAGAAGGACTTCATCGCTAGTGATGAGCCATATTTTAAATGTATACTTTTAAGAAAGCCTTTCCATGTTCTATTTGTGTTTTTAGATCACTTTTTGCGGTCTTTTTATTTGGAAAAAAAAACCTGCAAAAGGATATAAAAAATAAATGCATTTTCTGTCCTTTTTCTTGGTTGCCCACCTCAATCTGCTCTTTTTTAAATCATATTTTATTTATAAAGTTTTAAAGGAACAAAATACCAAACGGAAAAAAAAACCAAAAGCTGCCAAAATGATATTTGTTTTAGCCTGCCAAGTTAAAAAATTATTGAAAAATACATACACGGAAAGGTTTCATTTCTTAACAGAATCATGTGAACAACAAGTAGCATTTGTAAATCTGACAAAGAATAGCAGTAGTGTATAATACTCTATCAGGGTTCACAGGCTTTCTACGGCTCTTGGAAGCCGCAGTGTTTTTATCCGCCCCTGCTCTCCCCTTGCCCATTCACAGAGTGCCTTGTATTTCATCAATGGTTCTGGGAATAGGCAAAAGGAGAGGGGCAAATAAACAACACTGTGGCTTCTGTGTATGAGAGCCACAGGGGCCAGAAGTATAGGGTGAGCTATACTACCCTGTTTCCCCTAAAATAAGACCTACCCCGAATGTAAGACCTAGCACTATTTTTCAAGATTCCTGTAATATAAGACCTACCCCGAAAATAAGACCTAGTTTGGTGGTAGCATGTGAGGGGAAACTTGAAGAGCAGGAGTGATAGTATCAGCCTGCAGGGACATACTGTATTAAGGGGATGACAGGGGACTACCTCCGGTCAGCGCAGTGATAGGGAGCACTCCAGTACCAAACTTCACCAACTACTGTCCCCGAAGGCACTGCTTAATGTAATGGTACTGTACTGTAATGTGTACCGGTAAATGGTACCGTACTTTACCGTGCTGTCCACTGTCTGATGTCCCCACTGCTGCACCGCTGATACCACTGCCCCTGATGGCAAAGGAAGCCGGCGCTGTAGAAAGCAAGGCTGTGGCGGCAGATCGAGCAGAGCCGCATTAGCTGATACTTCCTCTATAGCGCCGGTTACTGTGACAGGCGGAGTTATACCAGATAACTTTGGATTGTTGTACATTTTGTTGCACATTAAAAAATAAAAATAAGACATCCCCTGAAAATAAGACCTAGTGTGTTTTTGGGGGGCAAAAAAAATATAAGACAGTGTCTTATTTTCGGGGAAACACGGTATATGGCTGAATGTGTTAATTTACATGAATTCACTGCGGATACTGACACAGATTGGATTTGAAAACAGTGAGATTTTTTGTTTTGTTATGTTGGAGTTTTATCATTTCTTGCAACTCGACACATATGTGCCATCCATTTTTGGTATATTTTTCCCATACTGTTTTCTTTTTTTAGAGAATAGGACTATGTGGGTGTGGGGGCCTGGACGATATGAATCCTGTAAAATGGAGGTTATAGGCTGGAAACATTCCACTGAAAAGAGATACCTGTAAAATGGAGGTTATAGGCTTGAAACATTCCTCTGAAAAGAGATAACACTCCGCACATCCACCAACAATCCAAATATTTTGCAGCCTTTCACCTTTTGTATAACATTAGTTATACACACACACGTGCCCAAACCATTGACATTAAAATATTAACATGTTCTTAACTACCAGTAAAGGAGCTTTAAAACAAGCCCCCACTGACCTTTCTAGCCGCACATAGTGTAATGTAATTAATTCAGAAAAACAGACTCTTACAATACAAGTGATGACTGCTTGTATTTGGTGCTGGTTTAGACTACCATATAGCAATGTTATAGTCTAAACCAGCACCAAATCCATTTACTATATGAAGCACAAGCATCATAAAGTAAACAAATAACGTATTTTACTTTTCCTGACTGATCCAAATCCTCCATTTGCGTCTTGCATTCTCACTCTACCAGACACAGCAGCTCAAAGTCGGAGGGTTTTAGCAACAGAGTCAGTGCTGTCAGTCCAGAAAGCAGTTGGCAGGACTAGGTGTGGCCAGTGGCTGACTGAAAAGCTCCAGGCTTGTGAATCAGTAGTGACAATGCTAATAACCATACCTCCTGCAAAAAGGTGCATCCCACTGGAGTACAAGCAGGCAGAACTCACTTCAGAGTGGAAACTGTGCCCTGACTTCGGGAGCAGTGCAGCATTGTTGCCCACCATAACAGAAAACTGGATTATGTGGATTTCTGGCAAACTTTACAGGTATTTGTTGGACTTTGCATGGGGAAAACCTTAAATACATATGTACTTATAATAAAGTGCTGCAGCACATTTTATTTAAAGTGAGACCAAAGTTCTTTAAAGCAGGACTCCAGGCAAATTACTTTTTGTCTGTTCCTGTGAATTTAGACAAAATTGAAGTATATAAAATTGACATTGTATTATGAAATGTGATTTGACTATGCTCTTATTAAATCCAAACAGTTTTGTATTCTGTTGCAATACATATGCAGTATATGTTTTGGAATTAATTATGCTTTTTAACAAATAAAAAGTAAAAAAAAAAACCATTCCACCTTATTCCACCTTCCCTAATGACTCTAATGCAGAGAATATGTGGGGTAGCATCGCTGCACTCTGCATTGGTACTCTGCAGCTTGATTACAAATGTGACCGGCATGTTTCCACTTAGCAGGCACTGCGAAGATGTTTTGTTCTGACCCAGTTAGAAGCTGGTAGCTCCATAGGGACAAATTGCAGTCCAAGCACTATAGAGGAGAGGGCCCCAGGTGAAAAATTTACTGACTGATCTATGGATTTGTAGCTATCCCACTTGTACATTGTTTTTTGGGAATCTTTTGTACATCTAGTTGTGCAGACATCTTTTTACTCCATTCCTTGATGCAATGTATTTCTCTACAGTTCAAGTTTATTAAATCTAATGCCCTTGTGTTTTTAACTTTAGCCATCAGAACGTCCAAGGATAAGCCCTCAAGTGGCTCTGTACCTCTTATCACAGGTAAGTTTAATTGAAAATAGTTGATTGGAACAATAAGACCGCTTAGAGGACAACCATGTAAAAGCAAAAAGACCTGTAATTGCAGCATCCATGCATTTTTCACCCTTTTCCAATGTGGAACATTGGATTCTTGAACATCTAGGTCAGGGGTAGTGAGTTAAAATTCAAAGAGGTCTGGTGAATAAAATTATTGAGCCGAGGTCCAAATTACGATCCGGACAGAATGTACCACGGTTCGCCATTTAGGCTGCACTCACACCAGCTGCTAAAAAGTGTGCCGTGCTTGGTGTTAGTCCAAGGGCAGGAGTTTTTCCTTTCAACAGATTCTCTCTTTTCTGCAGTTAGGCCTGTACCAATGCTTGGCCCTTAGTACCCGTGAAAGACTTCTCTGACTCACAAGGGGTCCTTCCTTGTGGGATATCACCTTGGTTAAGTGGCCTTTCTTTCTTCCTAAGGTGGTCTCTAACTTTACCTTAAAGTGACTCATTAGGGATGTATGGGGGCTGCGATAGTTGGTCTCCTTCTAAAAATGCGATTTCCTGACTGTTTTTGACTTAAGTACTTTTGTAATTTTTATGCCATCCTGTGCCCAGCCCACACCTGTAGTGTGGCACAGTTATATCTAATTCTGCATACCTGGCTGTATATTATACATTAAAAAAATGTATAATATACAGCCAGGTATGCAGAAATAAATATAACTGTTCCACACTATATGCATTATGCACTACAGTGTTCTGGTCTGGACATGTGCTCTGCCTCATCCATTTCCCCCCACTATGGGGATACAAGGCTTAATTAGATAGAATAGCAAGCAGTAGTGCATTTTTTTAAAATGTATAAACCTAATTGCATTACAACAGGCAAATATAACTTTTGAGGTCATCCTGTGCCCAGCCCACACCTGTAGTGTGGCACAGTTATATATAATTCTGCATACCTGGCTGTATATTATACATGAAAAAATTTAATATACAGCCAGGTATGCAGAAATAAATATAACTGTTCCACACTATATGCAATGCATTATGCACTACAGTGTTCTGGTCTGGACATGTGCTCTGCCTCATCCATTTTCCCCACTAAGGGGATACAAGGCTTAGTTAGATAGAATAGCAAGCAGTAGTGCATTTTTTTTTTAAATGTATAAACCTAATTGCATTACAGCAGGCAAATATAACTTTTGAGGCCATCCTGTGCCCACCCCCCATCCTGTGCCCAGCCCCAGCAGTGCTGCTAACCTTCTCCGTCTGCTTCATCCACTCGTGCCACAGCCTAGTCATCTGTCCATGCTGGCCTCTTCTCACGCTGATTGGCCGATTGGATGATTGACAGGCTTCCCCGCCAATCAGGAGTGAGGACTGAGGAATTGAAGGTGGAGTCTGCTTTCGGCCGTTCGCCCGTGGAGAAGGAGTTCGCGGCCATCTTGCATGAATGCAGACGCGGTCCTGTGTGCGGCGGTCGAAGATAGCGGACACAGGTACTCGTTTTAGATATCAGAGCATTTGCACGAGTACGAGTACTCATGCAAATACTCGGTATCGCCGCCGATACCGATGCTTGTATCGGTGCATCCCTAGTTCTAACCCTTCTATACCACTATCCAAATATATAAAACATGCTGGACATGCACTTTTTGTAAACAACATTTTAGTAAAATTTTTGGATAAAGATGAAGGTGACGGTTTCAGGAGATTTTCAGAGTGGAAGATAACCAGCATGATATCTTGGATATTTTTAAAGCATACCTAGCATTGGAAATGTTTTTTTTTTTATGTTAAGTATGCTTACCAAGTAATGTGTAAGTGTAACACTTGCCAGTATTTTGTTACCTTTATTACCTTATCTGCTTGAAGCCGCCTCTCACTTTTTGAGCTGCAACAAAGTTACAGTGTGAATGATTACTGGGGGTGGGAGAGTGAGGACATACTTTTTCCTGCCTGGAGCCAAGTGATAACACCATTCTCCTAGATTCCCTCTCTCAAGCAGAAATTGATTGCCTTTTATAATAAAAGGTACAAGTTTGTTTCTGTATATTGTGACGTTTAAAATGAATTCATCCTGATTGCAAAATTATTGATAGCGCGGTAGAAAAAGTGAAAGATGCTCATGATCAATGATTGGTTTTCAGTGTTGTTTTAATTATATTTAGACTAAGCAAGATGTTGGGGGGCGTGGTCTGAAGATGGTGTTGAGCAGATGCTAGTTACTGGAGCTCTGCACCACCGGGCTGATTTTCTCAGCTTATGAAGCAGTATATCTCTCACCTACTCCCATGCCTAAGGGATGCAAACATCGGGACGGAGGTGGCACAGTGACACCAGCTGGCATTCACTGGTATTTGACACCCAGCCGCTCCTATACTCTGGCCCGCGCCATAGACCACAAGACCTGCACCGCCATGCCTTCTTCCGCCTGTAATGAGAGCGGGCCCTGGGACTTTCCAGCTTCTCCATGCCAGGACTCGACTTTTACTATGGTTCCCTGTACTGCCAACTCCTGGGCTACCAAATCCTGGGCTCCCTCTTCGTCGGCATCTGACTCCTCTCAAGCCTCGGCTGTGCCGGTTCTGGGTGGATGATGGTGATCTGCGTGAGATCATGCGCTCTATGGCTTCTCGACTGGATGGTATGACTAAACAGAGCATACTTTACAGTGGGAACTCACTGCTTTAAAAACAGAACTATCTCATGTGGAGGTCAGATTGAGGGATTTGAAGACTAATAAAGCCTCTACTGAGTCTTGTTTATCAACTTTGGAGAACTTTCATTCCCTGGCTTAGCAGTGTTTCACTAGTATCATTCTGCTCCCGGAGGTTAGTGAGAATAGGAGCAGAAGGAATAACCAGTGTATCATGGGTATTCCTGAGGCCTCTGGTGGACCAGAATTAGAACCTACAGTCCAGGCAATCTGTAACTATCTCTTGGGCAAGGAGCCTACGGTGGCATTGGATCTCGATTGAGTACACTGTGTGCCTCTCCTGCAAAATGTGTCCCTTTCAGCTCCTGGGGATGTGCTCTGCCGAGTGCATTTTTATGTTGTCAAAGAGGAAATCCTCTGCCATGTCTGACAAAAAGGCTGTTTTGAATTTGATGGGGCTCAAATACATGTTCTCCCTGACCTTTCCAGACAAACGTTACGTATGGGAGCAATGTTAAAGACTTTATTGGACCTTATCCATTCTGTTGGAGCGAGTTATAGATGGGGATTTCCCTTTCATCTCCTAATCCGGAGCAATTCTCAGAGCTTTTCCAGTTTTTGGAGGTGGACGCAGTGGCCGTACCGAATTGGCTGGATTTCTTTGAGGACTCTTCTTATCCCGCTCTACCTCCCCGCCCACAAAGAGGACAACGTCAGAGATCCAGACCCACAGCCTGTCCGGAGCGAGCTTCCCCTGGTTTAGCTTGCGAAAATTGATGTTCTTTTGCAAGTATAGCCTTTCATACGGGGAAGTGCTTCCTCCTGTGTGCTTGGATTGGGCTCCCGAGCTGTTTAACTTAACGTTGGGGTGCTGTATATTCCTTCCCACAGTAGCTGTGCATTGGATCTCTAGCGACTTTTCTGTGTTTGAACTGTGCTGTAGCTCTGTGGTCTACCATCTATAATCCTTGCTAGATCGATTCATTTTAGTAGGCTTCTATCATGCTAGTGCTTCACGGTGAGTCACCTCTATAGGGCTTACGCCTGTGATGTCTTCATTTTGGCTGATATATACTGTGCATTGTTTTTTTTTTCTCTTTTCATGCTCTGCTGTTTGCTTATTGTCCTGCATTTCGGGATTATCGGGGGCACAGTGTTCTTTATTTTTGCCCGTGACCCTGTTTTTCTTACCTTTTACCTCCGGTCTCCTTATCTATACCCACATGTTTCATGTTTTTCTCCTCTAGGAGTTGAGTAGTTTCATATTTAGATTTTCTTTTTTCACTCAGTGGTTGCAACTTCCCTATGTCATCTAATTTATTTCCTCCCACTTAGGTGGTGGCAGTGTGGAGAACTAATTCTTCCTTTATATTTTTGTAAGTTTTTTAGAGGAGGGGGAACTAGTCCCCTTTCTCGCTTAGTTACCTGCTTAAGGTACCTTTCTCCACCCCCCCCCCTTATTCCCCTCTCCCCCTTTTTTCTCTCTCTCTTTTTCTCTTTTCCTGTGGTCCTGTTGGGTGGGGGTGGTTCTCCCGCTGACCTGTCCTTAGTATGTCCTCATTGAAGTCGACCTCACATTAAGGGTCTTAATGTCCCCGAAAAACACTCCTGTTTACTGCATGACTTGGCTAGGCTGCATAGCCAGGTGGTCTTCCTACAAAAAACTAATTTTAAAAGGGACAGAATCCAAGGAAAGACGTTTTCCTTTTGCATACCATTCTGCATCTCCGGTTGCTAGGGTGAGGGGTCAGTATCCTGCTTTTCAGCTCGGTCCCATGGAAATTCACCTCCCAGATGACCATGGTCGCTTCCTTCTGGTTAAGGGAATGATTGAAGATACCTTAGTGATGTTTGTTAATGTTTATTTCCCGAATTGAGATCAGCTCCTCTTTCTTCAACACCTCATTCAGATAATTTTACTACATGCGAAGTGCTTCTTGATTATGGGTGGAGATTTTAACTTTTGAGTTTGATCCGCTTGTTGACATCTCTTGGGGATCCCCCCCTTCTCTTACCTCAACCGTTTAAAAGCTGAACTCCATCTTGCCCATTTAGTTGATGTTTGGTGCTATTGTTACCCGACGGAGAAGGGCTACACCGTTTATTCTCCTTCTCACTAAACTTATTCCCAAATTGATAACATTTTTATAGAGCATAAGGACCTCCCCAATCTCATCTCTGTGTCCATTGACCCAGATCTTCTTTCAGATCATGCCCTTATTCATCTCTCCTTAGACCTCCTCCATAGGGGCCATGAGATTGCTTCATGGCATCTAAATAAGGCTCTGCTTCAAGATCGGGATACTTTAAGAGGTCCCTAATGAGCACCTGTTCTTCTTCCTGACAAATGCTACTGATAA